GGGGGGTGATTTCTCGCTTTCTGTCTCTCTATCTCTCTCTGTCTGTCTGGCGAGTGCACATGCCCTATAGCAAAAAAAAAAAAAGAAAAGAAAAAGAAAAAAAAAAATTCTTATAAAAAAAAAAGACTGAAAAGGGAAGAGGTGGCATGGTGGTTGAGGTGCTGGACTCCCACATAGTTTGAGTCCCAGACCTGGCATCTTGTTTTTTCACTTTCCTTCCCCCTCTCTCTCTCTGATCAGATTTTTAAAAATTGTAATAACAAAATTTAATAAATATTTCTGGGGCCAGCTGATGGCATAATGCATACGTTGCTGGACTCCCACATAGTCAGGTGCGAGTCCCAGACCCGGTGGCTTAAAACTCATGCCAACAATGGGGCCAGCAGATGGTGTGGTGGTTAAGGTGCTGGACTCTCACATGGTCTACTGCAGTTTAAGTCCCAGACTCGGTGGTTTGAAACTTTCACTGGGAGCATGTGGACCCAAAATCTTGAGAGGAGAATGGAAGAGAAGGGACTGTGGTTTGGGAACCAGCAGATGGTGTAATGGTTACACTGCTGGACTCCCACATAGTCGACCATGGTTCAAGTCCTGGACCTGGATGGCTGAAACTCATACCAGGTACACGTACATGTGCATGCATGCCCAAAGTTCCAAGAAGAGAATGGAGAAGGGACTGCAGCACAGCCATCCCTTTAGGAGAGATTTCTTGTTTTCTAACTGTCTGTCTCTCTCTGTCTCTCTGGCAAGCACATGCACCCTATAGCAAAAATCTAGGGACCAGCAGGTGGTGTGGTGTTGAAGGGGCTGGACACTCCCACATGGCCAAACATGGTTTGAGTCCTGGACCTGGTGGGTTGCTTTCTCACTTTCCCTCTCTTTGCCTGTCTGTCTCTGGTCAAATTAAAATAAATGAATGAATAAATCATATTAAATAAATAATTCCTTTTAAAAATATTTATTTTAAAAAAAAGACAAAAACCAACCAACCAACCCACCTTCTGGCTTGAGCATCTGACAGTGAACAATGCCTAAATTCCAACTAACACCCAAAGCTCTCACTTGGCCTAGCCATCACAGTCCTCCAACTTACCTTTGCATCCCCATCTCCTTTCCACCTAGAGCCAGTGCCAATCCACTACCTTGCCAGGTGTAATTTCTGCAGACTTAAGACACCACTCCTCTCTAGGGCTAGGCCTCTGCTCTTGCTGTGCCCTCTGCCCATAATGTCCTCCAACTTAGAGAGATGGATCCAACTATGGATTTCAGGGAAGCCAGTAGGCTCCTCTCTTGGGCTTCATAAGGACCTCCCAAAATGGCCATCTCACTCAGAGAGGTAAACCTAAGCACAGAGTGGAAATCACTGGGGAGAAGGAGGCAGGATAAAGTGCAGGGTTCCCCAGACCTTGGCTCCCCTGGGATGAGGCTAGTGCCTCTATTCTTAAATACCAGCAGTGTTTTCATGCACTAAACTTTGCTCATAAGAAGGGTTCCCAGGACCAGCAGATGGTATAATGGTTGCTGGACTCTCACGTATTCAACCGTGGTTAAAGTCCTGGACCTGGTAGCTTTAAACTCACGCTGAGAACATGTGCATGCATACTCAAGATCCCCAGAGGAGAATGGAGAAAAAGGGACTGCGATAAGGTCATCCCCTCTGGGGGTTATTTCTCAATTTCTGTCTCTTTGTCTCTCTGGCAAGCACACGCTCCCTATAGCAAAAATCTCTCTCAGAAAAAAAGGGCTCCCTGGGGACCAGCCAATGGCATAATGGTTACGCTGCTGGACTCCCATGTAGCTGACTGTGGTTTGAGTCCTGGACCCAGTAGCCTAAAATTCACACGAGGCACATGTGCACGCATGCCGAAAATCTCAAGGACAATGGAGGAGAAAGGATTACTGTACAGCCATTCCCCCTGGGGGGTAATTTCTCACTTTCTATTTCTATAGAAAGTGAGTATATGCACCCTATAGCAAAAATCTTTCTCTCAAAAAAAAAAAAAAAAGAGGGTTCTTTGTCTAAAAGGATAAAAAAGGTTGGGAAACCAGCACGCAGTAATCCATCCTCACAGAACCCCCAACAGGCCACTGCTCTTCATGCACCAGCAAAGGCTCCAGGTGACGTCCTGCCGTACCAAATGTCATCCTAAGTTTCTTCAAGTGTATTCAATAAAACCAACTTAACTTCCCCTTGAAAAAGTATTTTTCTAAGGATTTCAAGCCCCTCTGTGAAGCAACAGAATGCTACACTGTGGTAAAACAAGGGTCTGAAATCACTGTCCCGGGTGATAAAATCCAAACCCATTCTGTGTCTTCCTTAGAGGTCAGGACTAGCTCCCAGGACATCAGCCCCATAAGCCCAAATTCTCCATCAGGCTTGGGAAGGTGGGACCTAATTAATGACAATGTATCCATTCATTAATCTATTTCAGAGATTAAAGTAAGCACTGATTCAAAGGCATCTCAGTGAGGATTTCTAGCATGCACTTTTTTTTTTTTTTTTTTAAGGTTTTTACCATAGGTCGTGTGCCTTCACTGGAGAGAAGACAGAGGAAGAGACAGAGCAAGAAAGAGAGAAAGGGAAAGCGAGAATCCCCCTCCCCACTGCTTGGGTTGGGATAGCCATGCTGTAATTCCTTCTCCTCTATTCTCCTCTCAGGATTTTGGGCACGCACATGATTTTCAAGCAGCCAGGTTCGAGATTCGAACTGTGGTTGGCCATGTGGGAGTCCAGCATCTTTCTTTTTTTGGAGAGGCTTCTTTTGCTATAGGGCACGGGTGCTCGCCAGAAAGACAGAGAGAGACAGAAAAGAAATCACCCCCCCAGGGGGCCATGGCCACGCCACAATCCCTTCTCCATTCTCCTCTCAGGATCTTGAGCACGCATGCACACACCCCCAGCGTGAGTTCAGCCACCAGGTCCGGGACTCAAACCGCAGTCGACTACATGGGAGTCCAGCTACATAGCCATTACGTCAACTGCTGGTCCCGAGTCCAGCATCTTAACCACCACGTCTGTCACCTGCTGGTCCCACCAGCCTGCACTCTTAACTTCTGTGCTTCCTCAGACTTCCGGAAACACATCTCTTGTTAATCTTCCTCCTTTAAAAATAAATACATAGTTAAATAGAATTTTATTTTTAAATTTTGCTAGAGAGCATATGCACTTGCCAAAGAGACAGAGAAAGAGAGGGACATAAATAGAGTAGAGAGAAAGCATCTCCACCCAGGAGGGATGACCACATCACAATCTCTTCTCCATTCTCCTCTTGGGATTTGGGGCATGCACATACACATCCCTGTCAGGTTTTTGAAGCTGCCAGGTCTGGGACTCAAACCACACAGCTGTCCATGTGGTATCCAGCTGCCTTAACCACCAGGCCACCAGCTGGCACAGAAACACTTATAAAGAAAAAAAGTTAGCTGATGAGATCCTCTCAATCCTTATTCTCATGGGCATACGTGATGGCCTCTCCTTACCATCTTCCAATACACTATCCCAGGAAAGGAATGAGTCTGCCCAGCAACTCCCAATACAACACAATTGAGGTGGGAGAGGGTAGTGTCAGAATGCAGGTGTGAGGACACAGATCCAAGAGTCAGATGTCCAAAACGGAGACAGAAGGCCACTAATCAAAAGATCTGCTGAATGGCCAGTTCAGTTTCTGCATGTCCGTTTCCTTCAGCTATAAAAAGTGAGGCTGAGATGCCCATATACAGAGAGAGCTGCTACCAGGAACACCTTATAAAATCGCTCCCTTAATAAGTGAGCCTTTTAACAGCCAAATAAATGGTTCTGTCAGTCTCCAGCCCACAAGTTGCTAAGGGCAGTTTCTCAGCACTTGCAGTTCACTTTTTTTTAATACACGTGTCTTTATTTATTACATCCATTCACTCTTAAAACAAGGACATGACCTAGAAAAAAACTGCACTTACCATTTCTTGGCTCTGAATGTGTTAAATAAAACAATAGGTCGTAAATGAAAACTCTTGGTGCCCGATACTTTCTGAGCCTTTTAACCACTCCAAGCCAGAGTTTTCTCTCTGGTAAAGGAGGACTAATTGATAGCTCGCAGGATGGTGACAACAATTAACGGTGACAAAGCAGAGTGTCTGCCACAACAGTAAATGCCGGTTCTCCTCCTCCCTCAGTGCCTTCTTCCTCCCGCTTCCTAGTGTAAAAGGCTGGCTCCCACTTCCCGACAAAGGCAGGACAAGCCTCCCACTTGTCACAAATACCCAAGCAGAGCCTCTCGCCCCCATCCCCAAAACATGCAAATCAAGGGCATCACCAGCTTCCTCTCCAGGCAGCTCGGTGCTCTCAGGGAGGGAACCGAGCTCCAGCGGCCACTACTAGGATTTTCCCAGGGTGCAATGCAACTTCCCCAACTTTTCCGGGCTCGCAGTTTCCAAAGAAACCTAGACAGGCATTGTGCATAATCAACCATAAGTCTTGGCGGCCCGGCGGCTAAGAGACTGAGTTGGGGCATAGAGAGGGGAGCTGGGGCAGCCAGAAAGTGAAACGGTCCTTGAACCAGGGGGTCAGGGACCAAAATTGGTCTTGAGTTAGGGGGTCAGGGACCAAAATTTACGAGTACTGAACCCGGCCCAGGTTCCATACTTGTAGACTCCCCCATCTGGTTAAAGGCGAGCACAGGTTCCCCAGGACTAGGGATGGTTGAGGACCTTAGAAAAGGGGTGACTGACATCCTTCCGGGGCTCGACCGCCACCCTCACCTACCCCGCCACTGGACCTGGTGGCCTCAGGAGAACCCTGCCGCCGTGGCACCTGGAGAGTGAGGGCCTTCCGTGAGGGACATTGCTCCCAGCGAGCGGCAGGACAGGAGGTGTGACTTAGGGGTCCGCGCATCACCTCCTTCCAGTACCACTGCAGCCAGCGCCAGGTAGCGCAGGGCCCTGGCGAGTTCCGCCTCGCGAGCCCGAGGGAGAAGGGGCGGAGGGCTAGTCCGAGAGGCCGGGGGCGGGGGTCTGCCACTCACCGGCGCCCTCGGCGGGCTGCGGCGGCCCGACGACGCCGTTCAGGTAGAGAATGGGCAGCAGGTGAGGCTGCGGCTTATCCAGCGCCGCCCGCAGGTCCTGGAAGTGGTCCCGCTCCTTGGCCAGGAGCAGCTTGAGCAGCAGCTCCGCCTTGGCGCCTCCCGCCTCCTCGTCCAGCTGCCGCCGCTCGCTGGGGCTGAGCGCTCCCGCGGCCTCGAGCAGCCCGAGCACGGCCTCCACCTCCGTCATGGCCTGGGCCAGGCTCTGCTGGCACT